CTTCTCAATCAAAACGCTTTACAGATGGTTCTCCTAGTCCACCCAAAGCCCGCGGTATGACTCTTTGCCAAATTTGCATAAGCAATACCATCTTGCATCCAAATGTTGGCATCGATCTAACAACTATCAGCCAAAGAACTCCTTTCCAATGACACAAACGACTCCTCAAGCTGCTTATATTACCTCTTCAATACCATCTTAGTAGTCTGATCGGTATCTCAATAATGGTGCCACTTCGCATTTCTCCTCTTATTACAACCAAATCAACCAATCGGGAGCTTATCAAGGGAACAAGACTATTATGGTTGGAAATGGTCATACACTTCCAAGAAAACATCGGGAACAGGCATTTTACCAACTCCACATCATAAGCTATTACTTTCCAAGCTTCTACACATTCCACAAATTTCTCATAACTTGATCCCTCTCTCTCTGTTAGCACTCGATAATAATTGCATGATCATTTTTATGCAAATGGCTATCAAATTAAGGATTGCAAGACTCAACAACTTCATCTTCAAGGTCCTCCAGTCATGGTCTCTACCGCATTTTCAATAACTCAGTGGCCATTCCCTCTAATCAGTGGCATCAGCGACTTGACATCCGCATCGCCAAGTTCTTCAACTCATTGCAACACAGCAACAATATCTACAGATTTCTTCAATTTTATCCTTTTATACTTCTTGTGCTACAACTAAATGTCATCGCAAATGATATTTACCACATATATCAGCACAAAATGTACTCTGTTAGCCTTAATTCATACAAATGTATGGGGGCCATCCCTTAAAATTTCAGCTCAATGCTACAAATCTTATGTGCTTTTCATTGATCACTCCTCGTGATACACTTGGTTTTAGCCAATGTTTCACAAAACTGATGCTCTTATTCATTTTGTTAAATTCAAACATGAAGTTGAACTTTAATTCAATCAAAAAATAAAGAAGCATCGATTTTCAAATTTTCTCAACAAATATGGTATTATTAACCAATTGAGTTGTCCATACACACCACAACAAAACAATATTGTTGAACGAAAGCATCGTCATACTTTAGAAACTACTCTTGCCTTAATAGTTGACCCTAATGTACCTTCCTTGAGTTGCTTGACACGGTCCAAACATCTATTTACTCGATTAATCGATTAATTGATTACCTTCTAAGGTAGCTAAAAATTTATCACCATACCAGCAACTCTATGTTACCGCACCTTCCTAAAATCATTTACAATCATTCGGTTGCAAATGTTTTCCATGGATCCCACCTATCCATCGCTAAAAAATGTAGCAAAGAACTCCTCCATGAGTCTTGCTTGATTATACATCCAATGTCAAAGGGTACAAATGCTTTGACCCTTCTACGGTAAGATGATCCCAAGTACACATGCCTTTTTTAATATGGATCCCACCTATCCATCGCTAAAAAATGCAGCAAAGAACTCTTCCATGAGTCTTTCTTGATTATACATCCAATGTCAAAGGGTATAAATGCTTTGACCCTTCTACAGGTAAGATGATCCCAAGTACACATGCCTTTTTTAATAAATCTACATTTCCCTTTAAATACTTTCACCAACTCGTTAGCCCTACTCCTGAGCCTCAAATCAGCTCTCCCTCTACACTTATTCTTACCTCCACTTTATCATCCACCTATACCAATACATCCCCTATCCAAACTAACGGTGTCACAAATCCTAAATCAAAGTTCCCAAATCATCTGTCCAAAATTTCACTCCTAGTTAATTCCTCTCCCACCATTGACTCTACTATCGCTCTTCTTATTACCAAACCTCCTCCCCCGCCACATATAGCATAGTCACTCGATCTTCAAGTCAGATCTCCACCTAAGAAGGTTATTTTTGATCTCTTACATGATCAATCCCTCCAGGAAGAACCACACACTTAACAAAAAGGATGTAAAATATAGCCACTAGCGACAAGCCATGGAGGAAGAATTTCGTGCATTAAAAAATAGCATCAACATACATGAAATCTGGTTCTTCCTATTGATTATCCTGTCCTTGGAAGTAAGTGGACATATAGAATTAAACACAATTCTAATGGTTTTGTAGCTTGACACAAAGCTCGCTTGATGGCTTTGGGCTATCCATAAGATCATGGTCTTAATTACACGGATACTTTCAGTTCCGTCGCTAAAATCCCTATAGTGATTATCACACTTCATTAAAGCTGGAAAGTTTTCCAAATGGATGTATCTAACATAAAAAAGTTTACATGCATCAACAACCAGGTTACACAAATTCCATATGCCCCTCTTATATATGACTCTTACAAAAATCTATCTATGGACTCAAATAGGCACTAAGATAGTGGATCCATATATTCATTGCTCATTTACTCAAGTTTGGATTCACCACCAGCACCGTTGATGTCTCTTTACATTTACTGCCACAATGGTCACCTACTTATCTTCTACTTAATGTTTATGATATACTTCTCACTGGTAATGAAATTGGTAAAATGCAACAACTTCAAAATGAATTACAAATTCAATTTTCTATGAAATTTTTGGATTGTGTTCCTATATTCTTTAGGACCAATATTACATCCACAAAATATGACTATCATCTCAATAAAACAAGTCATGTTTAAGAGAGACTACATTGAGTTGGCATGACCGCATGCAAACCGGTTTCTAACCCCCAAACTACTACCATCAAGATCTCATCCACTGATACTGATCCCTTCCCAATCGATTTTTATATAGGCAATATGTTGGTTCCCTGCAATACCTGACATTTACTCGACCAGATAAAACAGTTGCAGTTAACTACCTCTCTCAGCATCTCCAAAACCAGCATTAGTCTCATTACTAACACCTTAAGCATCTCTTTAGATATTTAGAAAGTACTTTAATGTTCAACTTACATTTCGCAGCAACTCTTCTCATCCGTCATACTTAAGTTGACGCGAGCTGGGTTAGTGATTCCTATGATCATAGAACTATTACTAGGTATTGCACCTTCATCGGTTCCAGTCTTCTCTCATGGAACATGAAAAAGCAACTAACATTCACCAGGACTTCCACAGAAACTGAATACCGTGCCCTATATTTGGATGTGACCAATGTTATATGGCTTAGAAGACTACTTCAAGTATTCCAAATCTCCATTCCTTTACCGATACCGTTGAATTGAGAACTTAACATATCGAAATTGACTATCATTTTATTCGGGATCACATCGAGTGTAATGAGATCACACTACAATATGTATCATCAAATGAAGAACTAGCAGCCATCCTTACCAAAGCACTACCAACTTTTCAGTTCTTAAAGCTTAATTAATTGTACTTAGCATGTATTTACAATAGCTTAAGTATTGGATACTATATTATACAAAAAAAATTATTAGGAACTGAATAATGCAAAAAATTCAAAGGTATTGCATTAGCTGAATAGGTTCATCAACATTCACAGAAATATTTTTTTCTGAATAGGTTCATAAAAACTAAATCTAGATATTAGAGCTAAATTCTAAACAAATATATCTTTAAAAAAAATAATAAATAATAAATAAAAAACGAGTTTGTCATCAACCTCCCCGCCCCCCAGAAGGCATAAGTTCTGCATTAGCTGAATAGGTTCATCAACATTCACAGAAATATTTTTTCTGAATAGCTTCATTAGAACTAAATCTAGATATTAGAGCTAAATTCTAAACAAATATATCTTTAAAAACAAATAAATTAAATAAAAAAAGAGTTTGTCATTCAAAGGTTTAAGTTTTGCATTAACTGAATAGGTTCTTCAACATTCATATATATATATATTTTTTCTGAATAGGTTCTTCAAAACTAAATCCAGAGATTAGAGCTAAATTCTAGACAAATATATCTTTAAAAATTAAAAAATAAATAAATAAAAAATGAGTTTGTCATCAAACTCCCCGCCCCCCAAAGGCATAAGTTTTGCATCAGCTGAATAGGTTCTTCAACATTCACAGAAATATTTTTTTCTGAATAAGTTCATTAAAACTGAATCTAGATATTAGAGCTAAATTCTAAACAAATATATCTTTAAAAACAAATAATTTAAAAAAAAAAAAGAGTTTGTCATTCAAAGGTATAAGTTTTGCATTAGCTGAGTAGGTTCTTCAACATCCATATATATATTTTTTCTGAATAGGTTAATCAAAACTAAATCTAGATATTAGAGCTAAATTCTAAACTATACAAAAAAACTTATTAGGAACTGAACGCCGCAAAAAATTCAAAGGGATAAGGTTTGCATTAGCTGAATAGGTTCATCAACATTCACAGAAATATTTTTTCTGAATAGCTTCATTAGAACTAAATCTAGATATTAGAGCTAAATTCTAAAAAACATATCTTTAAAAATAAATAAATAAATAACGAGTTTGTCATCAACCTCCCTGCCCCCGCCCCCCCCAAAGACATAAGTTTTGCATCAACATTCACAGATATTTTTTTCTGAATAGGGGCAGGCATGCAGGCATGCATGCAGGCAGGATGCATGCCTGCATGCAGGCAGGCAAGTAGGGCAAACATAAATAAATAAAATAAAATAAAAACTAATTCTCATTAAAAGATAGGAGATTCTACATGCATGCAAAACTTTCATATTTATCTCACAGAAAAACTTTCATTATTGCAGATACAATATGAAATTTAGCGCTCTCACATTTTAAAAATCAAATCCATCTTTTCATCCACAAGCACAATGCTATGCGTGTAAAAATGAAACTTTGGGTGTGAGATAGGTAAATCCATAAGAATTGGGTGTTATTTATATAATTTTCCCTAAAAACTATGATAAAGGTTTACATCAAGATGATTACTACCAGGAATTATAGCAAGTTCATGGAAGAATGAAATTATTTTTACATAGTTTCACCACAGTTACATCATATATGTGAAATATTACCTTCATGTCATGTTACATAAATCATATCAATGAAGAATGAAATTATTTTTATAAAAATAATTTATTAGGAACTGAAAAATGCAAAAAAAAATTCATAGGTTTAAGTTTCGCATTAGCTGAATAGGTTCATCAATATTCTCCGAAATATTTTTTCACAACTTACTACAGCAGAGTACAAACATGTTTAGTTCAGTTTTTATATTATGTTCAAACATGCTTCAAAAGTACAGAGTGAAGCATTGAATGGTAATTTACAGGCTTACCAAAGTCAGGCAGATAATCTCACTAAAAAGACAGGAGTAATATTAAAAGATAAAAAGTGCTTCCACAAATTATCAGAGAATTTTGCACTATGAGCATCATACAAACCACCTGCATGAAGAAAAGCAAGTTGGTGAGAACGTAACCTGTATAATATAAACAAAAAATTAATATTAAGTTCAAAGTAATTAAGTAGATTGCATAAATATCAATGAATCCATCAAGCAATACAACTAGCATTTATTTAAAGCTAACAAATAAAACAAGGGGGAACATTCAGAGACACCTCAAGATAGAAGGTCGTCCAAGCTTTCCATTATATAGGCATATCAAGCAAGCTCCGGGAGATTAACAGGCCTGCCTGCAACAAATAAGGGACACTGAAACCCTCATGATGAAGCAAGCTGGAGAAGTCCAGAGAGTTCCAGAAAGTAGCAACTGATAGATAGAAAACACTTACTCTAGTGCATCCATGGCCTGGATTATTCGTTGGAATTTGAGGCCTTTGGCTTGGGAAGGATGATTTGATGCTAGGCTCAATTAAAGGAGACTCATTCAAAGAGCTTGCCACCACATTGGTAACGGGAATCTTCTCTGTGAGTGGGAAGCCAAAGAGCCTACAACTGCTACCACTACCATGAATGATGCTCTGACCGTTCTTATGAACTGGCGCTTTAAACCTCGTCAAATTTTCACAACGAGTTGTGAAGGAAGCCGGTTGCACACGAGTTCCCTCAGCTGAAGATATTGGGGCAGATAAGTTGCTATCATCAGCTTTCTCCTTTTCATTTGTGTCATATAACGAATAAGTGCATGGAAGTTGAGAGGCAGCTTGTTGAAACATCAACACTGAAGAAGGTGAAGAGACTTGAGCTGCTGTGGTGCATGGCTGTATGAAGGTACAGTAGCCTTGAAGTGGCGGAGCAGAACACCTTCCAGCACTGTAGGATTCAAATATTTTAGATCCATCATTTTCTCTATGACTTTCAACAGCCAAACCACGGAATGATGGCAACACTGGTACTATTTCTTGACCTTGCAAGACCTTATGGAACCGCATAGATTCCCCAAAGCCTGTGCCCTGGAAATGAAAATCAGAGTTTCCAGGCGGAACTCTGGCATTGCCTCCTGAGCCAGCTAAAGAGCAGCTGTTAGGGTTGGCAATGCATCTCCTCATTTCAGGCAAATGATGGCTTCTCATCTCAGAAAGATGAGGAAGAGTTGCATCACCCCCGTTATAAGGAGACTTAAAACCAAAAATTTCTTGACCTTGCAAGACCTCTTGGAACCTTGCAGATTCCCGCAAGCTCTGATAACCACTTCCACCTGCAGGTATAGTATTGTTTTTACATTAACAAATGTGCTGGAACCAATTAAAAAGCACTGCAAGCTTTAATATGGGCTTACTAGGATGTGGATAATCAGCACTGATAGAGGGAATACTAATTCTAGTTCTTTTTGAACCAGAAGCTAAGAGACTGTTTGGACAAGAGACTGATCCGGTGGGCTCTACTTCCCAAGGAGAGACCCTGTTATGTAAACTGTTGTCCACATCATCTTCATCCCATCTTACCTATAAGGATAAAGACTTGAGGAAAATAAACAACATGGAGCAGAATTAATATACACTCACAACAATCATCTTCCTTCAAAGGTCAAAAAACCAGTAACAAACATATGATTTAATGAATAATCCATTAAAAATTAATAAAAAAAATTTTATCGGCAAACAACTTCAAAATCACTTACAAGTGAAGATTCTATTTTCACATTCAAATAGATCAGAAAAATAAATCGTCACTTTCTAAAATATGATTTCCATCCACAAGCAGGAAATAAGTCCTTATTTGGATTGCAGTATTCTCACCAATTGGAATTCAAGTAAATTTTGATAATCTCGAAGGTTTTGGGAAACCTTTGCTCATAACTGACTCATACACATAAGGCATAACCCTCATGTTGTGAAGAAAATTGCATAAGTGCACTAGACAGGCCAAGCCAAGGCTGCACAAGTTAAATTAATAAATGCATTCTGATGCTGCATCAAAAGAAACTAATTTGCCCAAATAAAAAATTAGAAAACATCAAATTGAGATCATTATATATCTTTCTTGGCACATCTCACTTAAGTTTCTATTAGTAAGCCCTATATCCAAAAACGTTTTATATCAGAAATATTTTTTAAGCCTATTCACGTTGGATATTCTTGGAGTTCCATGTAAAAAGTTCAAATAATACATATTCAAAATTTACTGTTCGAAATATTTTGCGGAGCATATAGAATTTTCATCTTGCAAGAAAAGCATGCCCCTAAAAAAATAGAAATTGAACCCTTTTTCTTATTGACCTTTTATAATCCCACATCCAAAACTTGCAAGGCTTAGGATGAAACTAATTTCTGTATGGCCTTACTGACTGATGTCCCTTATTTAAAATATTATCAAAATGCCTTAATCTAATCTCAGCCTCCCTCTTAGCGTGATCTGAGATGACAAGATGATTATTTCTAAATCCCATCTTCAGTTTTAAATATTATGAAACTTTAATCTTCAGAAGTGAAAGAAATTTGTTGTGCGCTGACCTCTGAAACAATTATGGCAACTGAAGAGATATGATAGGTTTACCATGGTGTGCGGGTCATGGAAGGTATCCATCAAATAATGCCAAATTAAACAATAAAAAAAACAATAAAACCAATCACTAGCCAAACTTAAAATAAAAGCTTCTTCCTAAAAACACGGAAACCATTTTCAAGAGATGAATTGTATTTGAATTTTCTACTTTGCTTTTGGGTGCAACTTTTCATTTGTGGTTTCTTGCGTACCCATGCACACAAGTGGGCCGTGCATAAAACTAGTATTACTATTGTGACCCCCCTCCATTCCCTAAGAATAACCTCTCCATTAGAGTATGTATCTTCTGATGGACCATATCAAATTATTAATATTTGAGGTTCGGATGGAGGAACGGTAAGTATTTTTCATCATCATTGATAATGTATGAGAGATGGTAATCTACAATATTTAATTATTCATATGCTGAAATCATCCAAATCTACCCTTTAGGTTAACTATTTTACTTGGAGTAATATTGTGTGCATGGAAGAACTAATTTTTCAAGGTGTGACAAAGCAAGTATAAAACACCAATTCCTTGATTAAATGTTAGCATATCCTGCACACTCAAGTACACAAAAAGCATGCATATCTCCCAACAAGTGTGAGAGTATACACGCGCGTGCAAAAGAACACACACATATGCAAACCCACGCATGCACGTACGTGCGCGTGCACACACACATGTAAGCATGCATGCACATATGCACGTACGTGCGCGTGCACACACACATATGTATGGATGCATGCACGCACACACATGCACACATGTAAGCATACAAAAAGCATGTATGTCTCTCTATGTGAGAATGCACACACACAAACATGCACGTGCACAAAGAATTATCGTTCTATTTCCATCTAATTTCGATGTTAATGATTTAATATTCAAATTCAATACTTTTTTTTTATTTGTTAAGATAATTAAAACTAGTAATAAGCACAATTTCAAGGCATTGAGAATTAATAGTTGTGATGCAAAAAAGCAACAACAAGCCTTTATCCCACTAAGTGGGGTTGGCTACATGAATCATTTTTCTACATTGAGTCCTATTTCGTGTCATATTTTCATTTAGTTTTAAGATATTAAGATCATTTTTTATATAATATGTAAAAAGGGAAAAAAAAACAATGAATACTTCTAATTGCAAGAAAAAATTACTTGCAATTTCAAAACAATTTATCAACAGAGATTTTAAAAAATTGAAATCATAAATGATTGATGACTTTTAAAGTGTAACTTACAATTTTGAGAAGTAAAATGCACATGTAAAACTCGATTTTTTAATAGCCTCTTCAACATGCTTAATAAATAGTTTAATTACTGTGATAAAAAATAATGAAAGTGGACACATAAATAACTTAAAGTTGTGGACTTTCAAATTTAAGATTACAAAAAAATGTATACAAAAACAACAAAGCCTTAATACCACTACGTGGGGTCGGCTACATGAATCTTTTTTTCTCCATTGCGTCCTATTTAGTGTCATATTTTCATTTAGTTCTAGTAAATTAAGATCATTTTTTATACAATAAGCCCCAGTCTTCCTAGGTCTACCTCTGCCTTACTTAACATAAGTTGAATCTAGAACATCTATTCTCCTAATCAGATCATCAGATAGTCGACGCTTAATGTGACCAAACCATCTAAAAAGACTTTTTTCTAATTTTATCAATCATAGGAGCTACATCAACCCTATCACGGATATATTCATTTCGAAAGATGTATACGCAAAAAAAAAACTTCTTGGGATAAAAATATTTATCCCCTACTTATAAAATAAAATAATACTTCTTGGAATAAAAATATTTATCCCCTACTTATAAAATAAAATATCAAACTCATACATAATATTTACATATATTATAGAGTTCATAAACATTATATGGCCAATAAAACTCGAAATGCATAACGAAATCTCCATCCTATATAGCCAAGTGGCATCTATACTTTTAGAATACAGCACATCTATAGCTAAAACTTAATCATTGCTTAAAGTTAATCTTTTCATAGTTTTCATGAGAATAATTAGGGAAAATCCCTCTTTTTTTTTAAATTAAAAAAAAAGAAGGTCATAGTCAAGATAGAATAACTATTTGAGAAATTTTCTCGAGCTATAAAAGAACTTCCAAGAAAATAATGTAATACACAGGAACTCATGAACAAAATATACTTCTATAGAGCTGCAAAAGTTAGATAAGCAAAGGCACAATCATAAGTTTTTTCATGAAAAATGAATTAAGATATTACCAAAAATATCTAACTGGCATGGAATGTGTTCTAAGGTGTAATATAAATGAAGACCAACAACAAGTGTCATAGGAAATGAAATCAACAACAAAACAAACACGTTATTTGATTGATTCTCCAATATTTTGTATTTGCATATTGTCTGGGAGAACTCCAAAGTAGAAAAATCAATAGAAAGTGCACAAAATGGGAGCAATACTATGATGCAAACATAGAAAAAAGGAACAATATATTTTGAAAAAGGACAGATCTATTATTTAGAAAATAGTACAGATATGTATGCGACCATAATGATTACATGACATTTATTATATGTGATCTCATTTGCACCAATATTTTTAGCAACGCCTATACTTTAAAACAAGGTTAAGTGTATGAATAATGGAATGTCTGAATAATTATGAATACATGTTTGTTCAACATCAAACAAATTACCCTACAAATTGAGGCATTATCAAAAATAAATTGAATAACATTTGAAGAGCCAACCATCACTTTTGCTTCTTTAAACAAATTCAACATAAACATTGTCCCGCGGATTTTATTGCTTTGATAAACATTCAATAAATTTTTATGCTATCATAAAAATGATAAGTGGTCTTCTTTGTGGGTCAAACAAGCCATCACAATACTAAATTAACTCTCTCTCACATTTGTTGTATAGCATTTCAAGTAAATGCATACTTATAGTAAGGATTTTTTATAAATTTAAAAGCGAGGTCGGATTAAAAAAAATTCTTCTCACATTTTCAGCATCTAGTAGTTCTCATTGAAAAAATTAAGTCTTTTCAAAATTGTCAATTTTTTTTTTTCATTTCGTGAATTCATACCTATTCATTCATTCTACATGAACATAAATTAACATTAGAGTCATCAATTTAAATCAAAGAAGTGGACACATGAGCAATTGCAATGATATCTTATGGAGTAGTTTTTTTTTATCCTATCATAAAAATGATAAGTGGCTTTCTTTGAGGGTTAGATCAGCCATCATCCATTAAATTAACTCCTTTCGTTTCAAATATTTTCTCTGTCAGTTCAAGTAACTTCTTAATTTTAAACCTCTCCATGAAATAACTTTAATATAATGCCATTTTACCCGAGTGCCATGTAACAAACAAGAATATTGTTACATACAAATGTAAATATGGTGTTATAATGAGGATTTTTTTGTAAATTTAAAAGTGAGTTCAATTAAAAAAATTCTTACAATATTCACCATCTATTAATTCTCACGGACACAAATTAAATGCCTTCTCCAAAACGGTATTTTCAAAAATAAATTATTTTCTTAAATGTATTCTCTTTCATTCTACATGAACATTAAAATTAATATCATCAATATAAAAAAAAAATGTGGAATGGCATGGCCCATGATTCGACACCGCGATAATGGTATATATATATCACATCCTTTTATCATTATCCACAGTGATATTTGCGGAACTTCAAAGGTGAAAACTAAGGGGGTTCAGATGATTTATCTCATTTATTGAAGATCAAACTACAACCAGTTGGGTATTTTAAATGAAGAAGAAACCTAAAATAACACAAATCTTTCAAACCATCAATGACATGATTAAAACTCAATTTCAATGTAAAATTGTGATCCTCGCATGTAATACTTCAAAGAAATATTTCAACTCCATATGTGGGTCCCATTTTATATGAATACATTTATTGATAACTATTAAAAATAAGCAAAGAA